AGATCTCTTTGTTAAATTTTATGACACAGTCAATCCACTTCTGAAGAAAGTGCTGTTCTTATTGGTGAATTTTGTCAAGCGTCCTCATCAGAGTCTTGCTGGTATTGGCATTGCTGCATTTGTCCGTCTTATGAGCAATGCTGGGAGTCTTTTCTCTGAAGATAAATGGCTTGAAGTGGTTTTGTCCATTAAAGAAGCGGCTAATGCAACTATTCCCGACTTCTCTTTTCTTCTAAATGAAAATAACAATTATTGGTCCCAGGAAGAAGATATGACTGGGAATGGCAATGCAGAAACCACTGGTACAGATACTCCAGATGAGGACTTGGAAAATTTGAGGAGGCACCGTCTATATGATGCTATTGCTGATGTGAAGTGTAGGGCTGCTGTTCAGCTATTATTAATTCAGGTATCCAGAAAAGCCACTGCTGTGGGTTTAGTTCTAATTCATTTATGTATGCTCTAGCTTAGAGATGGCCACACACTCAACGTAGTATCACAACAGGCAGAGTCATTGGATCGAATCTCACTGACACCCATCATCAAAAATAATAATAATTTATGTATGCTCTCCAGAAGCGAGTAAAGATGGTTGTATACTATGTTAGGAGGAGGTTGTAGTGTTTGAAAGATCTTTTGCATATATCGTGGTTTGTTTGACATGATTAGACACAAAAGATGGGTTATGTGTCAATTATGTGGGGGAAATGTCGGGTTGGCATATAAGATTTGGTTTTTAATATATATGCACAGTTAGAGTCTTTGGACATATGTATGTTTGCTGTGCTGCTGGTGATTTGAGTTCTTCAGTTAGACATGTATATATGGATATACAATAACAAATTTATGTTGGAAATTAATGCTAGTTTAATTGCCTAGAAGGATATACCTTGCATCCCATGTTGGAATTGGAGTAATTTGATGACAGTTGAGTATGATATTTTAGTATGGAAAAATAACCAGATAAGTACTCCACTTGATAAACACTCTTATCATTATAATTCATAAGTTGTCAATTTACAGTCTCGTTATTTTAACACACAGTTTTTAATCAATCTGGAGTTGATACTTGATATTAGTTTATTTTAAATAATTAGAGCTGTAACTAGTACCGCCTTCTCTAAGTTGGTACCAATTTTATTTCATCATAGTCTCATTTAATGTCTGACTATAACTGGGAAAATGAGAATCAAATTACAATTGAACGAAAACTATGGACTCTTGATGCCTTGTCAAATTTCAAACAATATTTCTACTGCTGATACTGTAGCGTGAGCTTAGTTACTGAGAGTATCTCAGAATCCTGTTGGAAGATCTTTGAAATGATAGGTGTTTGTGTTTTTGGTGTGGGTTTTGCATCTATTTGTAGTTGTCTACTTGCACTTGGGATATCTTTGTATTGTTAATTTGGTCATTCTCTGAAGTATGGGGCCATGCTGTTGCTTTCTTAAAGGTCATGCCTTCAAAAAGAACATTGATATTATTGAAAACCTTGTATGGTAAATTTGATTAATTGTTCCTTTTTTTGTGTATATCTAGAAAGCTTAATTTCTACCATAATGATCTCTTGCACATTGCAGGCTGTGATGGAGATCTACAACATGTACAGACCTCAGCTGTCTAGCAAAAACATCATTGTTCTCTTTGATGCCATGCATGGTGTGGCATCTCATGCTCATAAAATAAACAGTGACACGACACTGCGGTCAAAGCTGCTAGAGTTCAGTTCCATGACCCAAATGCAAGACCCTCCGTTATTACGGCTTGAGAATGAGGCTTATCAAATTTGTCTCTCATTTTTACAAAATCTTGTGCTAGATAAACCTACTGGTTTTGAAGATTCTGATGTGGAAACTTACCTCATCAACCTTTGCAGCGAGGTCTTACACTTCTATATTGAAATCGCACATTCAGGACAAATGTCTGAGTCATCTCTTGGTGCACAGCTTCGTTGGTTAATTCCCCTGGGTTCTGGTAGAAGGAGAGAGTTGGCTGCACGTGCACCTCTTATCATTGCAACTCTCCAGGCAATATGTAGTTTAGGAGATGCATCCTTTGAGAAAAACTTGTCAGGCTTCTTCCCATTACTTTCAAGCTTGATAAGTTGTGAGCATGGTTCAAATGAGATTCAGTTAGCCCTGAGTGATATGCTCAGTTCATCCGTGGGTCCTGTTTTGCTTCGATCATGTTGAGCTTAGGGTACTCATTATTTCTTTTGCTTTATATGGTAATATTTCTTGTATTTTTTCCTATCATCTAATATTGCAGAAAGCTAGTTTCGGTGCTTCAAAAACTAGTGATTGTTTATATGCCCAGGCATTTAGAACCTTCTGCAGTATATTGAGGGGCTTAGCTCTTTGTAGAGTCATTAGATGTTAGCAGGAGTTCTGATGTTGTATGTGTAGCATTTTCCTCTTTATTATACGAGCAATTTCATGCCTAAGGATTGCTTGTTGTGTGTCTACTCAAATTACTTTGTGAGCTTTGTTTATCTGATTAGTTGCAGGGGTTTAGCAATGAAATGTTTCATTTTACAGCTCTGAAGCAGTATAAGATATCCGTGGCGATTCCATTGGTTAGAAGAGAAAGATGTTAGTGTTTGATGCACAGGTATGCGTATGCTAGATTGATGGCTACTTTTTTTTTTCTTTTAAAAAAAAAAAGTTTATTTCTTATGGTAATGGTGTTCGGGCCAACTTGAAAATAGTTCCATGTAATAGGACTAAGAGTAACTAGGGTTTCTGAACCTTTGAAACTAGTCGGTCTCCTCTTTACACAAGTTTCTGTCTGCTAGATTCTGGCAGATTGACGGTCTCCATTTCCCACCTAGTTTCTGAACCTGTTTCCCTTTTTAAGTTTAGACATATTGTTGAAAAATATAGATATCGTTTAGTGGTTAGCTGCCTTGCTGTTTTGTATATCCTTTTAGAGCGAAGTGTTTTGCATGGCTATATATTCCTTTATTTACTTGCTATCATAGCTGCTACTATCAGCTCTCCTTAAAATTGTCAAGTTCTGTTTATGTAGCATTTCTGCAGATTTATCTGCTTCACGTTGTTTGAGATGTGTGCCGTTTGCTGTGCTTTGCTCCTGCAATAGTGTATATTTACTGTGCCTAGTCTCAAAGTGGATTATTGTCACTGATATAATCTACGAGATCATCAACCACTTTTAGATATACGCACATTTACATATATTTTTGACTTCTGGTTCTCAAAAAAAGGAAAAAGTGTTATGGTTTACTTTACCTCATCTTGTTGATTCTGAGAATCATATTTTTGTATGTTTCTATTACCTTTGTACATGTTGAGTGGAGATATTATCCTATCTTGTAAGGATATTGTTGACTTGGTGCATTCTAATGGTCAATATCATTTGTGCACATTTTCTGAGTGCTTGACCCACAAGTCTCAATCAACTTTCGTAAAATGTGGGGTAAGTAATTACGCCAACTTTCCTAGTTCCCTACTATTCGAATAAGTTGACCAGTATCTCATTTATAATTCTATATATAATGACTCAAAGATCTACCCTACTGGCTCCAATAATTAAAGGGAAAAAAAGGTTTCTTCTTCTACATATCAATGTGAAAGGGAGACTCAAAAGATATTATGACCAAAATATCATGAGTTGTCACTTTTCATGTCTCAAACCATGTTTTTAGTATGTGTTCAGAGTGTTTTTTTTTTTTTTTTTTTGGTTTTTCAACCCGGTGTTCAATGCAGGGAACCCCTGACTAAATTCCGGTCGCGCATTATAGGGCTTATTTGGGGTGCCTCTCCCAACAAGATTTTCTCCATACCTAAAGCTCGAACTCGAGAACTTTGGTTAAGGGTGAAGCAGTCCCACCACTATTACCACAACTCATGTTGGTGTGTTTTTACTTGAAGTTTGATAAGAGGACAAGCTGCAACTTAAAAGCTTCTGGATATTTGAAACTTAATACCAATATTCACTAATGAATTAGTCAATTGTTAGTTTTGGTAATTCAGTAATAAATTTGGCCAAAGAAAAGTATAAAGAAGAAAAAGGATTAGCATATAAGTAGGACGGTGCTATAGAACCGTTTAGGGGTTCGGTAGAACTATTGACTTTAGGTTAAATTTTGTATTTGTATCGATAATTTTATTTAAAATATATAAATAATTTATTTAAGAATTACCTTTTTTAAGAATTTAAAACCCATAAACTGCGTCTGCATATAAGGAAACATGATGACAAATATTGCCGGCAACTTTTAAGAGGATATTTGTATATTCCACTAGGAATTAGTCTTGGACCAACACCAATTTTTCACTTCGACTGAAAAGATGCTAATTATGTCTCACAAAGTTTTTTAAATTTGTAGTTCAAAATTCCTTTCGATTATTTGTGCGGACTATAAATAATTTTATTAAGAGAAAAATTTGAATTTTAAAATTAAATTATTTTCAATCATAAAAAAGTGATACTTTTTGGGATGAATAAAAAGAAAATTATCCTATATAATTGGGATAAAGGAGTATGTTTGGAAAATTAATTGTCCTAATAAATTTGGAAAAAAAAAACAAATTACCCTTATAGAATTAGGAAAACCTTGTTCTAATAATAAGTTTAGTAAAGGAAAACATACAATCCTCCTAGGATTAGAAAACCTTTCTTTTATTGATTTGAAATTACTTGTGCTCTATATAAGCCTTATAGTTGTGAATCCATAAGCATTACACACTTCCTCTCTTTCAAAGCGAAAAACTTCGATAAATTAAACTGGGTCAAATCTCATTAAATTCATATATTATTTTTTCTTCTTTAGCGATTGTGTGCTAGTTAATCCAAATATTTGTGCGACAAAAGAGTACCTTGTTAGAAAAAAATAAAGGGTTGTTCCTAATTCATATAGGACCGGTAGGCGGTCACAGGGCTATAGTATATTATTAGAAATTGACAAATATTTTTCCCCAAATTCTCTACTTCTTCACCAATTAATCACTCTTTTATCTTTCTCCTGGTTTTTCAACATTACTATGGATTCTTTAACAGTATGGTTCAAGTCTATTGGGAAATTTGTTGGACAAATTAAAAAAGGGAAAAAAAACCCAAAGAGAATGGCTTCTGATTTGAGCTATTTATCAGGTTTTGCAACTATGGAGGTATCTAATCAACTGAAATTAGTGTTTAAATTGATTGATACAAATGGGGATGGAAAGATTTCCCCTATAGAGTTGACTGAAATTTTGTTGAGTGTTGGACATCATCAAGAATTGAAAGCTGCTGAAGAATTAGCAGAGGTTATGGTTAAAGAAATGGATTGTGATGGTGATGGATTTGTGGATGTGAATGAGTTTTTGAATGTTATGGGGGTGGAAAAAGATGAAGCTAAGGATATTGATGAGATAATTAGACAAGTTTTTCTTGTGTTTGATGTTGATAATAATGGGCTTATTTCAGCTAAGGAATTGAGGAGAGTTTTAATTAGTCTTGGTTGTGGAAATTGTAGTGTTAAAGAGTGTAGAAGAATGATTAAAGGAGTTGATAAAGATGGTGATGGATTTGTTAATTTTGAAGAGTTTAAACAAATGATGGCTGCTGGATGCAATCTTTAGCCCAACATTATGGTTTTTACTCTGTTTTTTTTTTTTCTTTTTGGAGTGTGAGTCTATGACGGGCTTAAATGGAGCGACATAGATAATGAGGATTCAGGTAGTCGATCCTGAACTTTGATTGAGGTGTAGTTGTTTTTAATTTCTTAATTTGTGGATTTTGTAAGTCCTTTGGTTGTTGGATTATGTAGTGTTTAAAATTTGTTTTTAAGTTTTAAGGTAGGATGTCAATGTTATGAAAGCAAGAAGGTAACTCCATATTTAGCATAATTCTCCTCTTTTCAAGTTCTGTTTTTGATGCTTCTGTGTTAAGAAGTGTACATGTTTGTGGGTGTATTTTTCATGTTTTTTTTGTAATAATAGTTTACAAGTATCTTGACTAGTTATGCCCCTCAAATTTGGACAAGTGTGTGTTTCTTCATTTGCATGTCCACTAGTGAAGTTGAACATTTCTTGTAATTATCCCTCTACTTTGTTTTACTTGCCCGCTATATCAAAAATAAAATTTCACTTTTACTTGTCAGTTGTCGCTATTTATATATATATTTTGTTTTATTTTTTTAATTTTTAACATTAATTACTTGAATTTTTTAAAAATAAATTTTCAAGCTTAATATTAAATATTAATTAATAAAAATAGTTATATCAATCATTTTTAAAAAAATAGTATGCTAAATTTAAATATGATAAGTAAAAATAAAAGCAAACAGAGTACATAAAACTTGGTATTCTCAAGCAGGCTTGTGTATTACCCCCCCCCCCCAAAAAAAAAAAAATAACCTAAAAGAAATACAAGGCATTGATTAGCTTCCTTACAACGTGACACGTGTTAAATATGATAAATATACTTACAAAAGATGTAACAGTAAGAAAATATCGCCATTATTATCGCACAAGTAGAGACAAATATACCCATATATATCATCTACGAGAAATTAATAAGATGAGAAAATGTTTGAATGTTGCTTGTAGAGAGATTTGTAAAAAATACAATAGAATAGTTTTAAGAATAAAAGATATTTTATGTGTAAAAATAAGAAACTAAATTTTAAAAAAAATTGTAAGTGATTTACAAAATCAAATCTCCCCCATCTCTTTATCTACGAATGTTCATCAAAGACATTTGAATTAAGATTAGTCAAAATTCATTATTTTAAATGCTTCTAAACCTTGATTTAGCTTCATTATTTTCCTCCCATGCCACTTATTAATTAGTTGAATAAAGTATATGGCATGGGAGGAAAAAAAATATATATAGCTCTCAATAGTTGAAAAAACAAGAAGAAAATTAAAAGGAGGAAAAAATAAATAAAAGAAAGACGTTCAAGATCAATTTTAATGAAGGCAAATTAAATATTAAGACATTTAAAATTAAATTATACGTTTGTGCAATAATTATTGTTTATAATGGTCATCAAAGTGCTTGTGACTAATAATCCAAATCAAATTCATTAAGTTTATGATAAGCTCAAATATCTTTATATTTATTTTTGTAAAGGATAATTAAAAAAATTCTAGAAATTGTAACATTCCCTTTCTCTCATTACTGCAACAAAATATTTGTTATCAAGTGATGAAGAAAATTGGTTCCATATCATTTTTGAGGAATATATATATCTAATAGTAACAGAAATTATGAAATAAGAAACATATTTGATAAGTTTAATTTACACACATATTCCCTATATTCATATCTTCCAGTTTTTTTTTTTCATTTGATGTCCGATACGATGATATTATAAATGTAATTATTTTTCATATCACGATTAGTGAGTATCATCCTAGCTTGGAGTTTTGACATACAAAGATTCAAATTGTCGCTTTTGATCACTTCCATTCCAGCAAAGACGACAACAACAACATACTCATCGTAATCCTAGCAAGTACATTAAAAATTTCCATTAAAATTGTGTATCTGTGCATGATTAGCTAAGCTGTGCTGTGGAATGTTGCTAGGAAAAATGGGCCTTTCTCATACACTACCAGAGCCCATTTTTTTTATGTTACGGCCCAATATAGCCCATTGTATTATTACGGCCCAAATCATTCACCCCCAACATGTAGGACTTTGGTTTATACACAAGGTAGAATTCCTTTATCAATATATAATACTAGAAAATATATGTTTTTGAGAGTAACCTATTTTTTTTTTAGTTGATAGAAAAGAAATGCAAATGAGTGTGTAACATAAAGTTTCTAACGTGATATTTAGTTTAAAAAAAAATAAATCAAAAAATTCATTACTATGTTAATTGACCTTACCAAGGATTTTTATGATACTTCTTAATTGGATACTTTTTTATTTATGAATTTTAAAAACAAATTAAACCAAGAATATGAAATTGGAAAAATTAAAATAAAACATTAAAGTTGTAAAAATATCAGTTCTATGTTACCAAGCAGTATATGTTAAATTAATAGTACAATATAACACTAGGATGCACCAAATTCAATAGTTTATATTTCTTATTATAATCATTCATGTGGAAAATAATGCATATAGAGAGAGTAAATTGTTCTTCTAATAATTAAATGATCATTTTTGAAATTGTTCTCAGCATAGAGGATCTAAATTAAAGGTGAACTTGTGGGGTTTCATTGGGTATGTTGTTATATAAAGGATATAAAGACGAATGATATATATATATATATATATATATATGTTTATTTATTTATTTATTTTTGTTAAAAAAAAGTACCAAGGATTCAGAAATTTGTTGATTATTATTTTCTTTATTAAATAGGACAATATAATGGCACCACAAAAAGTTCATATTTTTAAAATCCCGTGCAAGATCCTACCTAAATTAATAAAGCATTGGGTTAATTAGGATCTTCATTTCATACAACAAAGATTTTGTTGTCTAAACCTTATCACAATATTTTAGCAGCCTAAATGGTTATATTAAATTACCAATAAACACAAAAAATCTAAAGAGGGGTCTGTTGGATTTCCAATTATATATATATATCAGATCATTTAGGACCCTATAATATAAGTTAATATTCAATGAAATAATTCATATTAAATATTGTGCTGTCTTCCTAGCTATACATAGTATTTAGTGTAACTTAATCAGCACTTTTCCAACATCCTCAAGACAATATTCTTGTTGTATAAAAAAATATATTCTGAGCATATTAATAAAAGTACAGTGGCATGAGAGTTAGGATAAAAAAATTTAAATTCATCAGTTAAATATATGATCTATAGTTGGTCGTTATCTAGGCATGTTGCAACATATGTCCTAATCTTTTCTTTATTTCTCTTCATCTATTTTATGTGCTGCTCTTGTACCAACATGAAATTTTCTACCAATCCCAATTTCAAATGATTCAATAAATACTTTTTCTATTCACTTTTACTTGTTCACTGTACTAAAAATAAATGTTCATTTTTACTTGTTCAGTCTAGAAAATCAAGAGATAAGTAATTGCATTTGTTATTTACTATTGTCATTTATTATATTTAGGGAAAATGGTCTGAAAAATATTCCAACTTTGGCCGAAACTATTGTTACGATACCAAACTTTATGAAGGACCTTTTACCCACTGCACTATTTAATAGTGTATTTTAAAGGTATATATGTGCCCACGTGGACACATTACTATTTATAATGATGCAATATTTATGATGTCCATGTGAACACATATATATATCTTTAAAATACACTATTAAATAGTGCAGGGGGTAAAAGGTCCTTTCCAAAGTTTGGTATTGTTACAACAATTTCGGTCAAAGTTCGGATATATTTCAGACCTTTTTCCCTTATATTTACATAGTGATTTAATAAAATTATTCATTATTTATTACTCTTTAAGATATATGTCATATCAATACTGAAAAAATAAAAATGGATGGTGAATACCAGAGGTGTAGCTACACTCTTGTCAAGGTGTCTAATTGGACATCCTTCATTAGAAAATTATATCGTATATACAAGTAAAATGATAATTAACAAAGTGATTAAATAACATATTTTAGACAGTCTTCACACAACAATGTGATGTAGCCGAGTAATTTCAGGTGCCTTAAGAACCAACACATGCAAACTTAAAGTGTTCGTGTGCTCTATCCGACTAGTAGCATCTCTTTTTTCACTTTTTAACTTTGCAAAAACACGTGTCCAAGAATATTAATTATTAATATTACGTAATTTAATTTTAGAAACTTTAGTACCCTCATTTGTTAAAAAAAACTTGGACGTACTTCGTAAATTTTTTGACTCTGCTACTGGTTGAATACTATATAATGATTTATTATATAGTCATGTTCATGGGAATCATATTGTTCTAGTTAAACTAATACTCACTTTCTGATTTCTTGCTCTCTAAGTCCTATTGTTGATCATGCCTGTAAACTCGATTTATCTATCCTTAATTAAATTAAAAGAAGTCTCTCTAATTATTTATTTAAGTTGATTACTTTTCAGAAAGCTTTTCAATAACACTACAATGAAGTTATCATTACAGACAGATCATATCTACACTTTAAAACAAGCATCTACATATGTTATTATTGTTTTGAAATATAAAATAGATTAGTATTACTAGTTATAATTATAAGCAGTACTTATGTAAAAGGAGTTCCTACCCTTTTAATAATTGTGTTTAAAGCTATACTATATATATTAATTAATAACTTTTATTTTTCACTATGCTGCTGGAGGCTCCTCTAGCTATTCCAAGTTGGCAGGAGCATATATAGAACTGTATTTAACTAAAAAAAATAATCCGGACGTTACAACAAATAAATGATTTAACTGTAATTATATAATTGCTACTACTATATTATATGTAATGTCGTTAAAGACTTTAACGATTCTAAATGCAATGATATTAACTTAATTACTGCTAAATATTTTATGTAGTGAGATTTGAGAAGAAAAATATACTGAGCTTCAAACTCCCACCGTTAAAATGAAAGTGTGGGCAGCTCGCCGCAGAGGCGGAGCTAGGTGGTGGTTCATGGGTTCGGACGAACCCACTAGCTTTTTCGTAGACTCTATATTTGTATTAGGAAATTAATTTATTTTTTTATGTAAATTAACTTGTGAACCCCAAACAAATTGATTTAGAA